CACTTTCACCCGTTTCATACCAACATAAAGGTGTCCTACACCGTCTTCCATACAATGCCTCAAAAGGAGCCATGCCAATGCTAGAATGAAAACTATTATTATAGGTAAACTCAATCAAAGGCAAATGACTCTCCCATGAACCTCCTTGATCCAACACACAAGCACGCAACAAATCCTCAAGCGACTGGATTGTTCTCTCCGTTTGACCATCCGTTTGAGGATGATAAGCGGAACTCAATCTCAGCTTAGTACCCAAGGCTCTTTGTAAACCTTCCCAGAATCTTGAAGTGAAACGCGTATCTCTATCCGAAACAATGCATGTAGGAATACCATGTAAACAAACGATCTGTTCCACATACAACTTAGCAAGTCTCTCCATAGTGTAATCCATTCTAATCGGAATAAAGTGTGCAGATTTAGTCAATCTATCCACTATAACCCAAATAGCCTCATGGTTACTCGGAGTTCTCGGCAAACCAGAAACAAAGTCCATCGAGATACTATCCCACTTCCACTCAGGAATAGTCAACGGTTGTAACAACCCCGAAGGCTTCTGATGTTCGATCTTGGACTTTTGGCACACCAAACAAGCATACACAAACTCAGCAATCTCTTTCTTCATACAAGGCCACCAAAACAGTTTCTTCAAATCTTGATACATTTTCTTAGCACCATGGTGAATACTTAACCCACTTCTATGACCTTCTTCGAGAATTCTCTTTTACACATCCCCCACATCGGGAACGCAAACTCTATCATGACATCTTAAAATACCATTCTCATCAATTCTGAACTCTCCACCTTGACCTTGATTCACCAAAGTAAACTTGTCCACCAAAACCAAATATGACTTTTGTCCATCTCTAATCTCCTCCAAGACACCACTAGTAAGCTTCATCATACCGAGCTTCACTCCAAAATAAGTCTCTTCACACACCAAACTCAAATCTCTAAATTGTTCCAACAACTCCCATTCTTGAACCATCAACATAGACATGTGTAAATACTTTCTGCTCAAAGCATCTGCAATGGTGTTCACTCGACTCGACTCGACCACGGTACCGCTTGTGAACCCACAGTTTCACCGCTATGTTTCCACATAGGATCAGGCCCTTCCACGTCTATTTCCAAATAAGGATCGACGAGGTAAGCAATGTGGACCCAAAGTTCCACCACCTATGGGTTCACAAACGGAGCAGAATGGGTTTCAAAGAAAAAATGGCGTTACCTGCACCTGCATGCAAAGTATGTTGTTTAAACAAGGTTATAAGTTTGTCTATATAGGATTAACTAGATAAATTCTATGTTTTAGGTTGAAAATCTCATGCTTTGATACATTATGCATAAACGCTTGAAAATGTCACGATTGGTCGATTGTAGCAATCACATGGGTACATATACCCTAGACACATGTCATCTCTATATCAACTCTAATATCAACCCTAATTCTAACATTATAAAGAATTAAACGGCTTCAACGTATGAGCTAAGTCAAATAAAAATTGAAGTGCTTCAACGTTGTCAGTTATATCCCTTGAAGTGTCTCGACGTTGTCAGGCCTGGTAATCAGGCCGCCCCAAACATTTTAGTGGCCCTGCTCACATTTTAAAAATAATTCCTTTTATAAATAATAGAAAAAAGTTGAGTAATTATTGAATATATAAATACAATTATAGTTGATGAACTTATTAACTAGATTTAAATTTCACGGGTGATGTCATCCACACAACAAAATTTGTGCTCAGGAAGTTTTATTCTACCATAAAAGTAGAATCACATGAAGAATGTGGAAACCAAAAAACAAACAATGATAAAAGAAATAGAATCACATGAAAATTGTGTTTTGAATAAATTACATCAACACCTACTACTCAATACAAACATTTGATTGTGTTAGCTTCATTATTTCTTCCAAAAACGTGTCGTTACTATAACCTTTAAATTGTTTAAGCAAATCCGAGTTACCTCCAAACCACTTCAATATTTTACGCCTCAAATCTAATCCAATATCAAAACAACAATCAATTCTCATACCCAAATCCTTCACTTCCTGAGATAAATTCATATAGTCATAAACGAAACATTTTGGGGGTTTCCTTATGGATTTAGAAGTGTCTTCCAATGTTGACATTCGTTTGACACCACTACTATTCCCCTTACTTGTTGAGCTCAGTGAGTTCAACAATTTTCTACCCTTCGACTTCCTTTTCTTTTCCTCCATACATTTTAGAAATGTTGCATATGTATCTTTAAAAATGACTTTTAATTGCATAAAATGCAAGATTAAATTTATGAATTATGATGAAATCAGGTTTAGGGATGAAATGATAAGGCTAAAGCGCATAAATATTGTCTAACGCGCAAGATGATAAACGTTAGATGGTTTTTTTAGCATTTTTTAGCATTCCGTGATGAACTTTGATGTTCATCAGAACAATTAATCTTTTCCGTTGTATCACTTTGGTGTCTGTATAATTAATCAGTACAATTATATTTTATTTTGTTTTTTATGCATGTGGCTATGTTAATACTAATAGAGGCTGCTTGTTAATCAAGTTCTCTAAAAATATTGCTCCTTTGATCATCGTTCTGTCCAAGTCTTATTTGCATAGAAGAATTGCAGGTGGAAACAGTCATATGAACTCACTTTTCTCACCCGATCTGTTTGGTTATATGTTATGAATGCTAATTTCAATTCATATATTAGAAATTGATGGCCCTCACACTAACCATGTTTACTCTGTTTAGAAAGGTCTATAGATAATCACATTTGTGGTCTAGGTTGAGGCTTTTTTAAGAGATATGCTGATTTGAAACTATATTTTACACTCACACCATATTTTATACATGGAATACATACTCATTAATTATTTAATACTCATTAATTATTTAATAATTTTTTATTCAATTGGTTTGCCTAAAACAGTTAGATACATACGCTGGTTGGCATACGGTGTAATAAATCGGTGTCAACTAACCTACCACTAAAGAATCTCGCTGCAAAATCTATCCTACCACTAACTGGAAACATAACCCTTCCATTGCACCTGAAATAAAAAGCATATTAGGTTGTAACCCTATGGGTAATAACCTAGTCCCTTCGAAAATTAGATGATGACAAGTGCCGAATCGATAAAGGCTTAAAGAAATCTTTACACCATGCCTTGGGTGGCCATACAAAAAATAATCGTTTGTCCCTTAAATCCTAAAGAGACTTGACTACTTACTCATCAATAGTAAAGATAGTCACTTCTCAAAACGGATAGTAGAAAAGAAATGAAATACTTAGGAGTAGGTAGATGCCTTAGATACTTGCTCACCATTTCAAAAATATTTTGCACTTCACTTCACACATTTTCTAAAACATTTTTCAAAACAAGTAAGGTAGCATCTTGTATAACGTTCCAACGAGAACTAATACAAGATTAAACCCTTCCTCTTCAAAACACTTTTCAAACACACTCTTTTCAAACTCAAACAAAATTTCTTTGAAAACATAAAGTGAGCTAGTATCTAAGAGCCCGTGGAAAACCACGGATGCGAAGGGTGCCTAACACCTTCCCTTCGCAATAATCTATCTCCCGAACCCAAACTCTTTCAAAAAATAAAGGTCTTTCATGTTCTTTTCTACCGTTCCAATTAGGATAAAAGAAAAGTCGGTGGCGACTCTAGCTTCCGCGACATTGCTTTCCAAGAAAGCTTAAAAAGTCAGTTCTCCCACCGGATAACACTGCCCAACTTCATTTTGTAAACTATCATTTACATTTACCGGTGAGAACGTTGTACTGGGAACGTTGTGTCAGCCAACACCGTGAACATTCATTTACATTTTTTAATAGGACAAAATGTCTGAGTCGTGTGGATCCAATGATTTCTCCCATGCAGACGGGGAAGTTTCTAGTACGAAACGGACACATAAAGAACTTTATGCATACGGGGAAGTTTCTAGTACGAAACGGACACATAAAGAACTTTATTTAGAAGAAGCTGAGTCAACAGAGAAGATGACCTCTACAGCAGAACAACAAAGTCGTTCTAAGGTAATAATTAAATTTGGTGTTGTCCTTGTTCCTATTTGGTATTATGAGTCTCTAACACTTTGATTGGTATCTAATTTAAAGACAAGAAGAGTCATTCGCAATGATAACACAGAAATCATTCTCCAAACAGCTCCTGAATTCTCTAAGACCTACAAAAGAATGGCTATGACCCAAGTAATTAACGAATATGAATCCATGACGATTGCCAAAGAGATAGAGAGAAAGCATTTAATAACCATCCCTCATAAAGAGGTTAGAAAAATATATAATTACAAGTGAAAAATAATTATGGTTAGTATTGCTTCTATGACCATATGCTTCTTGGTTATTCTAATTTTTACATAGTTCTGAGCTTGTGATTATATGATTCTGATCTGATTTTTCTAGAATTTCTTGTCCAAACTAATTCTGACCAATTATTCAATCATGTTTTGTATGTTGAAAGCTTTTGTAGAGAATTCAATTGAAAATTTATCAGTAGATCCATGTAAATCTCTCTGATGTGTTTCTTTATTCTTGTTTTAATTGTACTAATATATTAGAATTCCTATTTTGTCATGAATGTGATGAGAGAATTCTCAATGTAATTCTCTCAATTTCTGTTTTTTGTATTTCTAAAATGCGATTACAAGATGATTGGGATCTATTTATAGAACCATAGATCCCAATTGAGTTAGTTACAAAGCTCCTTAAATCTAGGGATTAGTTTCCTAGATTTTAGGGGTTAGTTAGCAGCAGTTAGGATAGTTAGATGGACTATGATACTGAGCAAGCATGTTAGTTTTGGCGAGCAAATCTCTTGTTTTTCTGACTCTTATGTATTTGCCTTGGGAGAGTGACATAGATCCATTATCCTTGTTCTTGACTTCTAGGAAATAGTCAAGCTGACCTAGATCCTTGAGAGAGAACACTGACATAGATTGAGTGAACACCTTGCTATTACTTGTGATGATGTTGCTATTACCATGAGATAGCGAATGCTAGCGTTAGCCCAGCCATCCACATTGCAAGAGCTCTGGGTGTTCTTTCCATTGAAGCTTCACTGGCCACCTCCCTGGCTTGCTCACTGAGGTGGTCTACTAGCTGCCTGACTTCTGCGGAAGAACTTGCCGGTTCCCCGATTTGCGTTGCCTCCGCCAGCTGCTGTAACTCAGGGATGCTTGGGGGTCTCTGTGCTAGACAGTCCCACCATATCGCGCACCCAAGATATAGCGCCGGTAAGATTAAGCTGAGAACTTCCGTGACGTGCTGCCCTTGCCCCGACCCCGCCTGTGAGTGCTCTGTTGCCCCAGGTGTACCTGTAGCTCTCTGGTCTTGACCCACGGCCTAGGAGCTTTTTATCTCGTAATGCCCCGTAGGCCTCTCTCGGGTGACCTAAGCATTTGGTACTTCGATCTTTTATTAGGTTGGCTCCAGGTAAATAAGGGGCTCAAGAATCCATTCCCGCCGGCATCTTAGTATATGCCACTCCTTCCGTTCCTAGGAAATTCGACCTGAGGCCAAAAATAAGTATATGAAAAATCACTAGATGACAATCGAAGTCCCTCTTTCTTTATTCAAAAAGGCTTTTCGCCCTCAACTTTGTGCCTTGAGGCTGGCTTTGAGGAAGAAAAGTTGCTGTCAACACCAAAACCTCTGGGTCAGATCCTGCCCCACGTGGTCCTCACTTCAGGTCCCACATTTCTCTTTCTTTGTTTGATTTCCTTCAAATCTCTTGCCCCTTCTAGGTCAGGTTCGTATTCAAACAATGATGTTTTTCATACACTTGGACAAATAGTTCAAGACGAAGTAACCAGCCATCAAATTCACACGCCTGACGGATCAACTCAGGATGAAGCAATTTGGTAATTCAGTTCATACGCTTGGACAGATAGTTCAAGATGAAGAAACTCAGCAGTCGGTTCATACACTTGGACAAATAGTTCAAGACGAAGTAACCAGCCATCAAATTCACACGCCTAACGGATCAACTCAGGATGAAGCAATTTGGTAATTCAGTTCATACGCTTGGACAAATAGTTCAAGATGAAGAAACTCAGCAGTCGGTTCATACACTTGGACAAATAGTTCAAGACGAAGTAACTAGCCATCAAATTCACACGCCTAACGGATCAACTCAGGATGAACCAATTTGGTAATTCAGTTCATACGCTTGGACAAATAGTTCAAGATGAAGAAACTCAGCAGTCGGTTCATACACTTGGACAAATAGTTCAAGACGAAGTAACCATTCTAAGGTGACAGATGCCTTATATAGGTAGAATTCTCAGAAACGGTTCAAAAACAGAAAATCCAACGCACAGGTCATTAATGCTGAAAACTGACAATGGCAAAATCAATGCATTCAAAAAAAAACGGTTCAACACGCAATTCTCAGAAACGGTTCAAAAACAGAAAATCCAACGCACAGGTCATTAATGCTGAAAACTGACAACGGCAAAATCAATGCATTAAAAAAAACGGTTCAACACGGAAGTGTTCAACGTACAATGCATTAATTCCAAAATTCAAACTCGGTTCACACACCTGGAAAAGCAGTTCAGGTTGAAGAAGCCAATTATCCAGTTCTTACACACCTGGCAAAACAATTCAGGTAGAAGCAACACAGCAGTCGGTTCATACACTTGGACAAATAGTTCAAGACGAAGTAACCAGCCATCAAGTTCAGACGCCTGACGGCTTAACTCAGGATGAAACAGCTTGGTATTCAGTTCATACGCTTGGAAAGACGATCCAAGATGAAGTAACTCAGAATTAGGTTCAAAAACAGAAAATCCAAATAGTTCAAGACGAAGTAACCAGCCATCAAATTCACACGCCTGACGGATCAACTCAGGATGAAGCAATTTGGTAATTCAGTTCATACGCTTGGACAGATAGTTCAAGATGAAGAAACTCAGCAGTCGGTTCATACACTTGGACAAATAGTTCAAGACGAAGTAACCAGCCATCAAATTCACACGCCTAACGGATCAACTCAGGATGAAGCAATTTGGTAATTCAGTTCATACGCTTGGACAAATAGTTCAAGATGAAGAAACTCAGCAGTCGGTTCATACACTTGGACAAATAGTTCAAGACGAAGTAACCATTCTAAGGTGACAGATGCCTTATATAGGTAGAATTCTCAGAAACGGTTCAAAAACAAAAAATCCAACGCACAGGTCATTAATGCTGAAAACTGACAACGGCAAAATCAATGCATTCAAAAAAAACGGTTCAACACGCAATTCTCAGAAACGGTTCAAAAACAGAAAATCCAACGCACAGGTCATTAATGCTGAAAACTGACAACGGCAAAATCAATGCATTAAAAAAAACGGTTCAACACGGAAGTGTTCAACGTACAATGCATTAATTCCAAAATTCAAACTCGGTTCACACACCTGGAAAAGCAGTTCAGGTTGAAGCAGCCAATTATCCAGTTCTTACCCACCTGGCAAAACAGTTCAGTTAGAAGCAACACAGCAGTCGGTTCATACACTTGGACAAATAGTTCAAGACGAAGTAACCAGCCATCAAGTTCAGACGCCTGACGGCTTAACTCAGGATGAAGCAGCTTGGTATTCAGTTCATACGCTTGGAAAGACGATCCAAGACGAAGTAACTCAGCATTAGGTTCAAAAACAGAAAATCCAAATAGTTCAAGACGAAGTAACCAGCCATCAAATTCACACGCCTGACGGATCAACTCAGGATGAAGCAATTTGGTAATTCAGTTCATACGCTTGGACAGATAGTTCAAGATGAAGAAACTCAGCAGTCGGTTCATACACTTGGACAAATAGTTCAAGACGAAGTAACCAGCCATCAAATTCACACGCCTAACGGATCAACTCAGGATGAAGCAATTTGGTAATTCAGTTCATACGCTTGGACAAATAGTTCAAGATGAAGAAACTCAGCAGTCGGTTCATACACTTGGACAAATAGTTCAAGACGAAGTAACCATTCTAAGGTGACAGATGCCTTATATAGGTAGAATTCTCAGAAACGGTTCAAAAACAGAAAATCCAACGCACAGGTCATTAATGCTGAAAACTGACAACGGAAAAATCAATGCATTAAAAAAAACGGTTCAACACGCAATTCTCAGAAACGGTTCAAAAACAGAAAATCCAACGCACAGGTCATTAATGCTGAAAACTGACAACGGCAAAATCAATGCATTAAAAAAAACGGTTCAACACGGAAGTGTTTAACGTACAATGCATTAATTCCAAAATTCAAACTCGGTTCACACACCTGGAAAAGCAGTTTAGGTTGAAGCAGCCAATTATCCAGTTCTTACACACCTGGCAAAACAGTTCAGGTAGAAGCAACACAGCAGTCGGTTCATACACTTGGACAAATAGTTCAAGACGAAGTAACCAGCCATCAAGTTCAGACGCCTGACGGCTTAACTCAGGATGAAGCAGCTTGGTATTCAGTTCATACGCTTGGAAAGACGATCCAAGACGAAGTAACTCAGCATTAGGTTCAAAAACAGAAAATCCAAATAGTTCAAGACGAAGTAACCAGCCATCAAATTCACACGCCTGACGGATCAACTCAGGATGAAGCAATTTGGTAATTCAGTTCATACGCTTGGACAGATAGTTCAAGATGAAGAAACTCAACAGTCGGTTCATACACTTGGACAAATAGTTCAAGACGAAGTAACCAGCCATCAAATTCACACGCCTAACGGATCAACTCAGGATGAAGCAATTTGGTAATTCAGTTCATACGCTTGGACAAATAGTTCAAGATGAAGAAACTCAGCAGTCGGTTCATACACTTGGACAAATAGTTCAAGACGAAGTAACCATTCTAAGGTGACAGATGCCTTATATAGGTAGAATTCTCAGAAACGGTTCAAAAACAGAAAATCCAACGCACAGGTCATTAATGCTGAAAACTGACAACGGCAAAATCAATGCATTCAAAAAAACGGTTCAACACGGAAGTGTTCAACGTACAATGCATTAATTCCAAAATTCAAACTCGGTTCACACACCTGGAAAAGCAATTCAGGTTGAAGCAGCCAATTATCCAGTTCTTACACACCTGGAAAAACAGTTCAGGTAGAAGCAACAAAGCAGTCGGTTCATACACTTGGACAAATAGTTCAAGACGAAGTAACCAGCCATCAAGTTCAGACGCCTGACGGCTCAACTCAGGATGAAGCAGCTTGGTATTCAGTTCATACGCTTGGAAAGACGATCCAAGACGAAGTAACTCAGCATTAGGTTCATACACTTGGACAAATAGTTCAAGACGAAGTAACCAGCCGTCAAATTCACACGCCTGACGGATCAACTCAGGATGAAGCAATTTGGTAATTCAGTTCATACGCTTGGAAAGATAATCCAAGACGAAGAAACTCAGCAGTCGGTTCATACACATGGACAGATAGTTCAAGACGAAGTAACCAGCCATCGAATTCACACGCCTGACGAATCAACTCAGGATGAAACAATTTGGTAATTCAGTTCATACGCTTGGACAGATAGTTCAAGATGAAGAAACTCAGCAGTCGGTTCATACACTTGGACAAATAGTTCAAGACGAAGTAACCAGCCATCAAATTCACACGCCTGACGGATGAACTCAGGATGAAGCAATTTGGTAATTCAATTCATACGCTTGGACAGATAGTTCAAGATGAAGAAACTCAGCAGTCGGTTCATACACTTGGACAAATAGTTCAAGACGAAGTAACCAGCCATCAAATTCACACGCCTGACGGATCAACTAAGGATGAAGCAATTTGGTAATTCAGTTCATACGCTTGGACAGATAGTTCAAGATGAAGAAACTCAGCAGTCGGTTCATACACTTGGACAAATAGTTCAAGACGAAGTAACCAGCCATCAAATTCACACGCCTAACGGATCAACTCAGGATGAAGCAATTTGGTAATTCAGTTCATACGCTTGGACAGATAGTTCAAGATGAAGAAACTCAGCAGTCGGTTCATACACTTGGACAAATAGTTCAAGACGAAGTAACCATTCTAAGGTGACAGATGCCTTATATAGGTAGAATTCTCAGAAACGGTTCAAAAACAGAAAATCCAACGCACAGGTCATTAATGCTGAAAACTGACAACGGGAAAATCAATGCATTCAAAAAAAACGGTTCAACACGGAAGTGTTCAACGTACAATGCATTAATTCCAAAATTCAAACTCGATTCACACACCTGGAAAAGCAGTTCAGGTTGAAGCAGCCAATTATCCAGTTCTTACACACCTGGCAAAACAGTTCAGGTAGAAGCAACACAGCAGCCGGTTCATACACTTGGACAAATAGTTCAAGACGAAGTAACCAGCCATCAAGTTCAGACGCCTGACGGCTCAACTCAGGATGAAGCAGCTTGGTATTCAGTTCATACGCTTGGAAAGACGATCCAAGACGAAGTAACTCAGCATTAGGTTCATACACTTGGACAAATAGTTCAAGACGAAGTAACCAGCCATCAAATTCAAACGCCTGACGGATCAACTCAGGATGAAGCAATTTGGTAATTCAGTTCATACGCTTGGAAAGATAATCTAAGACGAAGAAACTCAGCAGTCGGTTCATACACTTGGACAGATAGTTCAAGACGAAGTAACCAGCCATCAAATTCACACGCCTGACGGATCAACTCAGGATGAAGCAATTTGGTAATTCAGTTCATACGCTTGGAAAGATAATCCAAGACGAAGAAACTCAGTAGTCGGTTCATACACTTGGACAGATAGTTCAAGACGAAGTAACCAGCCATCGAATTCACACGCCTGACAGATCAACTCAGGATGAAGCAATTTGGTAATTCAGTTCATACGCTTGGACAGATAGTTCAAGATGGAGAAACTCAGCAGTCGGTTCATACACTTGGACAAATAGTTCAAGACGAAGTAACCAGCCATCAAATTCACACGCCTAACGGATCAACTCAGGATGAAGCAATTTGGTAATTCAGTTCATACGCTTGGATCAAATTCACACGCCTGACGGATCAACTCAGGATGAAGCAATTTGGTAATGTGTTTGGTGTTTAGAAGTTATAATGGAATATATATGAAAATGTTGGTTTTTAAGAAAGTACTGTGAAGAAAATTTTAAATGAACACAAACAGCTTTCGCCTAGAAATGAAAAACGAATTTTTCATGGTGCAGGAAGGGGGGCCGGCCGGCCCCACACCCTAGACAACAAGGGGACCGACCGGTCCCATGTTATATGACAAAAAAATGTGATTTTTGCGTTTTCCCCTGGTGCCTGTGTGTGTTGCAGCAATGTATTTTATTCTGTTTCTGCAATTCGTTTGAAAAGTTTCTGTTTCTAAACTAAACTCCATAATTATTATAATAATTCTTAATATTAATTAATAATAATATTAGAATCTCATAGCCGATTAAATTCTGAACCCGTAGATGTGCCGATTTCTCGATTTCGGTAATTTCAGCGACGGAGCTACTTTCTCCGATTCGCACGAAAATTGACGTGCTAGCATAATTCGACGTGTAGATTAACATGGTGAAGTTAGTTTTTCGATATCTCGACTTTTTGGGAATCGACCCGATTTTTGTACAAAATGAAATAAATTGAGTTTAATCCCGAATTTAACCGTTCGAGTTGCATTTCGGTGACTCGATCGCGATGAGTAACATTAGGAGTAATGTCGGTTCATTGATGATGACTTTTATGTTGAAACATACTTACGATTCGAAATTGTTTGATTGTTGATGGTTTATGTTTTGATTGAATTGATGAGTTTATGAATGACATATTGAGCTTGTAAATGCTATGTGTCATATGTTGACTGTTGAGATGTATTATAATTATATTTTGTTTAATACATGAGATGGATACGTATATTGTGATGATAGTATGCTTGTGTTTGTATGTGAATAATACATGAGAAAGTACGATGACACCTATTGGAATGATTCGTTTGGTGATGTCCATTATGTTTACCATCATATCCAACCAATGGAACATCAACTATTGTACATGCATGCATACATATCATTTAGCAATCACAACATCAAGTAAAATGTATACAAACAAGTTACTTCTCAACCAAAACATAAACCATCAACTAATAAACAATTCCAATTCGGAAAGTATAATTCAACATAAAGTCATCATCAATGATCCGACATTACTCTTAATGTTACATCTCGCGATCGAGTCACCGGAATGTAACTCGAACGGTTAAATTCGAAAATTTTTCTTTTTTTTTATATACATACTGGGACCGGTCGTCCCAGGGGCTAGTGTAAGGTGGGGCCGACCGGCCCCCTTGCCCTATGGTGAAGAATTTTCGTTTTTCATTTCCAGCCATTTCATTCAGTATTTTCCTATTCTTTCTGTAACATTAACAAGCAGCAGCAGTTTTGTTTCCAATTCAATATAACTAAACCCATTCTTAACCAAACTCAACATACTCTATACCATTTCAAACCCAACAAAATCATCAATTTTATCATCTCTCTTCCCATCTATACAACTATTCAAAAACCTAATTTCTCATTTACCCAAAATCAGAAACTCAAAACTACAAGTATATGATCAAAGCAACTCAAACCCTTACCTTGGTGTGGGTTTTTCTTGATCAAGATGATGATGTTGTTGAACCCTAGCTTCTTCTTCCTTCTCCTCTTCTCCTTCTCTTTTCCTTCTTTCTATCTTACTAACTATCTATATTATATTTTATAAAACCAAATTATACTACTACTAACTTTTTACCCCTAATCTTTCTAAAATTATTAATTTGGCCCAAATCTATTTAATTCAATTATATCATAATAATTCTATTAAAACCATATAACATTAATTAATATCTATTCCACAAAGTTAAATTATACCGGTAATTCAAACAAGTCAAATACACACCAAAGTAATATTACTCAAAATAGTATTTTATCGATATGAATATTTTTATTTCAAATAACCGAATTAACATTTTAATTGATATCAAATAAATATATTTCTTAAAATAGATTTAATTGATAATTTTGGAAAATAATAAATTAAATATCATTTAATTAAAAATGGAGTGTTACAACTCTCCCCCACTTAAAAGATTTTCGGCCTCGAAAATTACCTCTAAGTAAACAGTTCTGGATAGGAATTCCGCATCCGACTTTCAAGCTCCCACGTCACGTTACCATTCGTCGACCCTCCCCACGCCACTTTAACCAAAGCAATCTCTCTTCCTCTAAGTTGTTTCACTTTTCTATCTTCAATTCTCACCGGTAAAACCTCCACCGTCAAGTTGTCCCTAACCTCCAAATCACCCGCTTGTATAACATGAGACGGATCCGCAATATACTTTCGTAATTGCGAAACGTGAAACACATCATGCAAATTTGAAAGTGATGGCGGAAATGCAATCCGATAAGCCATACTTCCTATCCGCTCCGAAATCTGATAAGGGCCAATAAACCAAGGTTTTAAGTTCCGCGATTTAAGCGCCCTTCCAACACCCGTAGTTGGATTCACCTTCAAAAACACATGCTCATCCTTTTTGAACTCAAGAGGTTTCCTCCTCTTGTCATAGTAACTCTTTTGGCGATTCTGAGACACTTTCATCATCTCTCTTATCAACTTAATTTTATCTGTAGTCTCTTGTACCATTTCCGGACCAACTATCGCACTTTCACCCGTTTCATACCAACATAAAGGTGTCCTACACCGTCTTCCATACAATGCCTCAAAAGGAGCCATGCCAATGCTAGAATGAAAACTATTATTATAGGTAAACTCAATCAAAGGCAAATGACTCTCCCATGAACCTCCTTGATCCAACACACAAGCACGCAACAAATCCTCAAGCGACTGGATTGTTCTCTCCGTTTGACCATCCGTTTGAGGATGATAAGCGGAACTCAATCTCAGCTTAGTACCCAAGGCTCTTTGTAAACCTTCCCAGAATCTTGAAGTGAAACGCGGATCTCTATCCGAAACAATGCATGTAGGAATACCATGTAAACAAACGATCTGTTCCACATACAACTTAGCAAGTCTCTCCATAGTGTAATCCATTCTAATCGGAATAAAGTGTGCAGATTTAGTCAATCTATCCACTATAACCCAAATAGCCTCATGGTTACTCGGAGTTCTCGGCAAACCAGAAACAAAGTCCATCGAGATATTATCCCACTTCCACTCAGGAATAGTCAACGGTTGTAACAAACCCGAAGGCTTCTGATGTTCGATCTTGGACTTTTGGCACACCAAACAAGCATACACAAACTCAACAATCTCTTTCTTCATACAAGGCCACCAAAACAGTTTCTTCAAATCTTGATACATTTTCTTAGCACCATGGTGAATACTTAACTCACTTCTATGACCTTCTTCGAGAATTCTCTTTTTCACATCCCCCACATCGGGAACGCAAACTCTATCATGACATCTTAAAATACCATTCTCATCAATTCTGAACTCTCCACCTTGACCTTGATTCACCAAAGTAAACTTGTCCACCAAAACCAAATCTGACTTTTGTCCATCTCTAATCTCCTCCAAGACACCACTAGTAAGCTTCATCATACCGAGCTTCACTCCAAAATAAGTCTCTTCACACACCAAACTCAAATCTCTAAATTGTTCCAACAATTCCCATTCTTGAACCATCAACATAGACATGTGTAAAGACTTTCTGCTCAAAGCATCTGCAATGGTGTTCACTCGACTCGACTCGACCACGGTACCGCTTGTGAACCCACAGTTTCACCGCTATGTTTCCACATAGGATCAGGCCCTTCCACGTCTATTTCCAAATAAGGATCAACGAGGTAAGCAATGTGGACCCAAAGTTCCACCACCTATGGGTTCACAAACGGAGCGGAATGGGTTTCAAAGAAAAAATGGCGTTACCTGCACCTGCATGCAAAGTATGTTGTTTAAACAAGGTTATAAGTTTGTCTATATAGGATTAACTAGATAAATTCTATGTTTTAGGTTGAAAATCTCATGCTTTGATACATTATGCATAAACGCTTGAAAATGTCACGATTGGTCGATTGTAGCAATCACATGGGTACATATACCCTAGACACATGTCATCTCTATATCAACTCTAATATCAACCCTAATTCTAACATTATAAAGAATTAAACGGCTTCAACGTATGAGCTAAGTCAAATAAAAATTGAAGTGCTTCAACGTTGTCAGTTATATCCCTTGAAGTGTCTCGACGTTGTCAGGCCTGGTAATCAGGCCGCCCCAAACATTTTAGTGGCCCTGCTCACATTTTAAAAATAATTCCTTTTATAAATAATAGAAAAAAGTTGAGTAATTATTGAATATATAAATACAATTATAGTTGATGAACTTATTAACTAGATTTAAATTTCACGGGTGATGTCATCCACACAACAAAATTTGTGCTCAGGAAGTTTTATTCTACCATAAAAGTAGAATCACATGAAGAATGTGGAAACCAAAAAACAAACAATGATAAAAGAAATAGAATCACATGAAAATTGTGTTTTGAATAAATTACATCAACACCTACTACTCAATACAAACATTTGATTGTGTTAGCTTCATTATTTCTTCCAAAAACGTGTCGTTACTATAACCTTTAAATTGTTTAAGCAAATCCGAGTTACCTCCAAACCACTTCAATATTTTACGCCTCAAATCTAATCCAATATCAAAACAACAATCAATTCTCATACCCAAATCCTTCACTTCCTGAGATAAATTCATATAGTCATAAACGAAACATTTTGGGGGTTTCCTTATGGATTTAGAAGTGTCTTCCAATGTTGACATTCGTTTGACACCACTACTATTCCCCTTACTTGTTGAGCTCAGTGAGTTCAACAATTTTCTACCCTTCGACTTCCTTTTCTTTTCCTCCATACATTTTAGAAATGTTGCATATGTATCTTTAAAAATGACTTTTAATTGCATAAAATGCAAGATTAAATTTATGAATTATGATGAAATCAGGTTTAGGGATGAAATGATAAGGCTAAAGCGCATAAATATTGTCTAACGCGCAAGATGATAAACGTTAGATGGTTTTTTTAGCATTTTTTAGCATTCCGTGATGAACTTTGATGTTCATCAGAACAATTAATCTTTTCCGTTGTATCACTTTGGTGTCTGTATAATTAATCAGTACAATTATATTTTATTTTGTTTTTTATGCATGTGGCTATGTTAATACTAATAGAGGCTGCTTGTTAATCAAGTTCTCTAAAAATATTGCTCCTTTGATCATCGTTCTGTCCAAGTCTTATTTGCATAGAAGAATTGCAGGTGGAAACAGTCATATGAACTCACTTTTCTCACCCGATCTGTTTGGTTATATGTTATGAATGCTAATTTCAATTCATATATTAGAAATTGATGGCCCTCACACTAACCATGTTTACTCTGTTTAGAAAGGTCTATAGATAATCACATTTGTGGTCTAGGTTGAGGCTTTTTTAAGAGATATGCTGATTTGAAACTATATTTTACACTCACACCATATTTTATACATGGAATACATACTCATTAATTATTTAATACTCATTAATTATTTAATAATTTTTTATTCAATTGATTTGCCTAAAACAGTTAGATACATACGCTGGTTGGCATACGGTGTAATAAATCGGTGTCAACTAACCTACCACTAAAGAATCTCGCTGCAAAATCTATCCTACCACTAACTGGAAACATAACCCTTCCATTGCACCTGAAATAAAAAGCATATTAGGTTGTAACCCTATGGGTAATAACCTAGTCCCTTCGAAAATTAGATGATGACAAGTGCCGAATCGATAAAGGCTTAAAGAAATCTTTACACCATGCCTTGGGTGGCCATACAAAAAATAATCGTTTGTCCCTTAAATCCTAAAGAGACTTGACTACTTACTCATCAATAGTAAAGATAGTCACTTCTCAAAACGGATAGTAGAAAAGAAATGAAATACTTAGGAGTAGGTAGATGCCTTAGATACTTGCTCACCATTTCAAAAATATTTTGCACTTCACTTCACACATTTTCTAAAACATTTTTCAAAACAAGTAAGGTAGCATCTTGTATAACGTTCCAACGAGAACTAATACAAGATTAAACCCTTCCTCTTCAAAACACTTTTCAAACACACTCTTTTCAAACTCAAACAAAATTTCTTTGAAAACATAAAGTGAGCTAGTATCTAAGAGCCCGTGGAAAACCACGGATGCGAAGGGTGCCTAACACCTTCCCTTCGCAATAATCTATCTCCCGAACCCAAACTCTTTCAAAAAATAAAGGTCTTTCATGTTCTTTTCTACCGTTCCAATTAGGATAAAAGAAAAGTCGGTGGCGACTCTAGCTTCCGCGACATTGCTTTCCAAGAAAGCTTAAAAAGTCAGTTCTCCCACCGGATAACACTGCCCAACTTCATTTTGTAAACTATCATTTACATTTACCGGTGAGAACGTTGTACTGGGAACGTTGTGTCAGCCAACACCGTGAACATTCATTTACATTTTTTAATAGGACAAAATGTCTGAGTCGTGTGGATCCAATGATTTCTCCCATGCAGACGGGGAAGTTTCTAGTACGAAACGGACACATAAAGAACTTTATGCATACGGGGAAGTTTCTAGTACGAAACGGACACATAAAGAACTTTATTTAGAAGAAGCTGAGTCAACAGAGAAGATGACCTCTACAGCAGAACAACAAAGTCGTTCTAAGGTAATAATTAAATTTGGTGTTGTCCTTGTTCCTATTTGGTATTATGAGTCTCTAACACTTTGATTGGTATCTAATTTAAAGACAAGAAGAGTCATTCGCAATGATAACACATAAATCATTCTCCAAACAGCTCCTGAATTCTCTAAGACCTACAAAAGAATGGCTATGACCCAAGTAATTAACGAATATGAATCCATGACGATTGCCAAAGAGATAGAGAGAAAGCATTTAATAACCATCCCTCATAAAGAGGTTAGAAAAATATATAATTACAAGTGAAAAATAATTATGGTTAGTATTGCTTCTATGACCATATGCTTCTTGGTTATTCTAATTTTTACATAGTTCTGAGCTTGTGATTATGTGATTCTGATCTGATTTTTCTAGAATTTCTTGTCCAAACTAATTCTGACCAATTATTCAATCATGTTTTGTATGTTGAAAGCTTTTGTAGAGAATTCAATTGAAAATTTATCAGTAGATCCATGTAAATCTCTCTGATGTGTTTCTTTATTCTTGTTTTAATTGTACTAATATATTAGAATTCCTATTTTGTCATGAATGTGATGAGAGAATTCTCAATGTAATTCTCTCAATTTCTGTTTTTTGTATTTCTAAAATGCGATTACAAGATGATTGGGATCTATTTATAGAACCATAGATCCAAATTGAGTTAGTTACAAAGCTCCTTAAATCTAGGGATTAGTTTCCTAGATTTTAGGGGTTAGTTAGCAGCAGTTAGGATAGTTAGATGGACTATGATACTGAGCAAGCATGTTAGTTTTGGCGAGCAAATCTCTTGTTTTTCTGACTCTTATGTATTTGCCTTGGGAGAGTGACATAGATCCATTATCCTTGTTCTTGACTTCTAGGAAATAGTCAAGCTGACCTAGATCCTTAAGAGAGAACACTGACATAGATTGAGTGAACACCTTGCTATTACTTATGATGATGTTGCTATTACCATGAGATAGCGAATGCTAGCGTTAGCCCAACCATCCATATTGCAAGAGCTCTGGGTGTTCTTTCCATTGAAGCTTCACTGGCCACCTCCCTGGCTTGCTCACTGAGGTGGTCTACTAGCTGCCTGACTTCTGTGGAAGAACTTGCCGGTTCCCCGATTTGCGTTGCCTCCGCCAGCTGCTGTAACTCAGGGATGCTTGGGGGTCTCTGTGCTAGACAGTCCCACCATATCGCGCACCCAAGATATAGCGCCGGTAAGATTAAGCTGAGAACTTCCGTGACGTGCTGCCCTTGCCCCGACCCCGCCTGTGAGTGCTCTGTTGCCCCAGGTGTACCTGTAGCTCTCTGGTCTTGACCCACGGCCTAGGAGCTTTTTATCTCGTAATGCCCCGTAGGCCTCTCTCGGGTGACCTAAGCATTTGGTACTTCGATCTTTTATTAGGTTGGCTCCAGGTAAATAAGGGGCTCAAGAATCCATTCCCGCCGGCATCTTAGTATATGCCACTCCTTCCGTTCCTAGGAAATTCGACCTGAGGCCAAAAATAAGTATATGAAAAATCACTAGATGACAATCGAAGTCCCTCTTTCTTTATTCAAAAAGGCTTTTCGCCCTCAACTTTGTGCCTTGAGGCTGGCTTTGAGGAAGAAAAGTTGTTGTCAACACCAAAACCTCTGGGTCAGATCCTGCCCCACGTGGTCCTCACTTCAGGTCCCACATTTCTCTTTCTTTGTTTGATTTCCCTCAAATCTCTTGCCCCTTCTAGGTCAGGTTCGTATTCAAACAGTGCTGTTTTTCATACACTTGGACAAATAGTTCAAGACGAAGTAACCAGCCATCAAATTCACACGCCTGACGGATCAACTCAGGATGAAGCAATTTGGTAATTCAGTTCATACGCTTGGACAGATAGTTCAAGATGAAGAAACTCAGCAGTCGGTTCATACACTTGGACAAATAGTTCAAGACGAAGTAACCAGCCATCAAATTCACACGCCTAACGGATCAACTCAGGATGAAGCAATTTGGTAATTCAGTTCATACGCTTGGATAAATAGTTCAAGATGAAGAAACTCAACAGTCGGTTCATACACTTGGACAAATAGTTCAAGACGAAGTAACCATTCTAAGGTGACAGATGCCTTATATAGGTAGAATTCTCAGAAACGGTTCAAAAACAGAAAATCCAACGCACAGGTCATTAATGCTGAAAACTGACAACGGCAAAATCAATGCATTAAAAAAAACGGTTCAACACGGAAGTGTTCACACACCTGGAAAAGCAGTTCAGGTTGAAGCAGCCAATTATCCAGTTCTTACACACCTGGCAAAACAGTCCAGGTAGAAGCAACATAGCAGTCGGTTCATACACTTGGATAAATAGTTCAAGACGAAGTAACCAGCCATCAAGTTCAGACGCCTGACGGCTCAACTCAGGATGAAGCAGCTTGGTATTCAGTTCATACGCTTGGAAAGACGATCCAAGACGAAGTAACTCAGCATTAGGTTCATACACTTGGACAGGTAGTTCAAGACGAAGTAACCAGCCATCGAATTCACACGCCTGATGGATCAACTCAGGATGAAGCAATTTGGTAATTCAGTTCATACGCTTGGACAGATAGTTCAAGATGAAGAAACTCAGCAGTCGGTTCATACACTTAGACAAATAGTTCAAGACGAAGTAACCAGCCATCAAATTCACACGCCTGACGGATCAACTCAGGATGAAGCAATTTGGTAATTCAGTTCATACGCTTGGACAGATAGTTCAAGATGAAGAAACTCAGCAGTCGGTTCATACACTTGGACAAATAGTTCAAGACGAAGTAACCAGCCATCTTTCTTCTAAGGTGACAGATGCCTTATATAGGTAGAATTCTCAGAAACGGTTCAAAAACAGAAAATCCAACGCACAGGTCATTAATGCTGAAAACTGACAACGGCAAAATCAATGCATTAAAAAAAACGGTTCAACACGGAAGTGTTCACACACCTGGAAAAGCAGTTCAGGTTGAAGCAGCCAATTATCCAGTTCTTACACACCTGGCAAAACAGTCCAGGTAGAAGCAACATAGCAGTCGGTTCATACACTTGGACAAATAGTTCAAGACGAAGTAACCAACCATCAAGTTCAGACGCCTGACGGCTCAACTCAGGATGAAGCAGCTTGGTATTCAGTTCATACGCTTGGAAAGACGATCCAAGACGAAGTAACTC